TCACTGCACAGAATCCATATTGTCCTCCTGCTTCCAACAACACCCCAAACTTCCTCTGGTAGCTGTACCTCCCCTTGAGTGTCTCCTACCTCCCACCCTCAACCCCACCCGGGCTCCAGGGCTCGAAGAGTCCCATTGGTTAGGGAAGGGCACAGAACTAGACCTAAATGAGCCATCACCAAAATGCAAATCAAGACCACAGTGAGGCGGTGCCTCACACCCACTGGCATGGCTCTAATAAGACAGACCCGGACAGGCTGGCAAGGACACACAGAAATCACAGCCCGCATACGCTGCTGGTGGGCACAGAACAGGGTGCAGCTGCTTTGGGAGAGCCTGGCATTTCCTTCAACGTTAAATGCCGAGTTACCATGCGACCCAGGAATTCTACTCTGAGGCATGCACCCAAGAGAACTGAAACATATGCCCACCTAAAAACGTGTACATGCGTGTTCATAGCAGCATGATTCCTAAGAGCCGAAAGGTGGAAATAACCCAAATGTCCATCAACAGATGAATGGATAAACAAAATGTGGCCTCTTTATACAATGGAATAGTGTTTAGTCATAACAAGGAATGAATTACTGATATAAGCTACAATGTAGATGAACTTTGAAGACATGATGCTAATGAAAAAGCCAGAGACAAAAGGCTACATATATGATCCATTCATATGACACGTCCAGGTCAGTCAGATTCACAGAGGCAGAGAGTGGACAAGTGGTTGCCAGGAACTGGAGAGAGAGGAGGCGGAGAAGATTGGGGGTGATGGCTGGGGGAGGTTATGAAAATATCCTGAAATCGGCTGTGGTCAGTGTTGTACGAGTCTGTACATGTGCTGAAAACCATTACATTGCACATGTTAATGGGTGTGTTTCATGGTAGGTGAACGTATCTTAATAAGGCTGTTATTAAAAACCCCCATGACCCGGCCCAGCCGGGGGCACAGTTGGTTGGAGCACTGTTCTGTCCACCAATTCCCTGTATGTGCACTGAGGCTGCAAGTTCCAAGTTGGGGAGCATACAGGAGGTAACCTCTCTCTCTTTCTCTCACTCCTTCACCTCCTCTCTCTCTAAAAAAAATAAAAAATAAAATAAAAATCAATAAACAGCTCCTCAGGTGAGGATTAAAAAATAATCCTCGTCCCCACCAGCACACAGCACTCCCCTGGTCATGTGATTGGTCACTGGGTGTCTCATGGCTCAGCGTGGATGGGCATGCTGGGACACCAATGATCTTGCTTCTGGTAGGCTTGGTGCTGAGCGGATATGAGACTTGATACCACAGAACCAAAGAAGGACAGCTAAGAGCTGCTGGGCTCACTGCAAGGACACTTACAATGCAGCTGGTACAAAGGAATTCTGGATCCAGCCATGTCTAAACTCCTTAAACTGTTCGGTTAGGGAACCAATTAGCTTCCCTTCTGCCATAAGCTA